AAGAAAGAAAGAAAGAAAGAAAGAAAGAAAGAAAGAAAGAAAGAAAGAAAGAAAGAAAGAAAAAGATACGTGAACACAGACATCAAAATGAAAGCCCCTTGCAGGTCACATAGCCAAGCAGAGGCAAAGCTGGGTCCGCCGTCAGGTCCAGTAAGTCCACGAGAGCCCTCGCCCCACCCCACACTGCGGCCTCTTGCTCTACTCTTGCTCCAGCTGGTGAGACGACCCTGTCCTCCCCTCATCTCCATCTGCTGATCTCCTTTTCCGATTGTCCAGCCGCCCGCCTGCACCGCCATCTTCAGAAGGTCAGGACCATTCAGCGTGACGGCTCCAGGCCCTTTTGCATTCCTGGGTGATGGAGCTGTCTGACCCCTGGCAACCCTGTGTCGTTCCTTCAGCCCCTCCCCACTCACCTCCACTCCCTCCTCCACTTTCTGCCCTCCCACTCATTTCTTTGACGCCACTAAGCTCTCCACTACATTTAGGAAAAAAAAAAAAAAAATCTATCGTTTAAAAGAGTTTGCGCCGTAAACCTAAGTTTCAACTTAATTGAAAGGTTTATGGGATGATATGTTGGTTTGGAGCACGTTTGATCTTCCTGTTCTTGCAGATAATTCAAGAGGTGCCTTTAAGAGGGGTCTTGTGAATCTGTTCCAAGGATCATTCCAGAAATGCCCCCAATGATATTGATTGAGGATGCTCCCATTGGGCAAGCAGCCATTTTTGTTCTATTTTTATTTTTAGTGACATCACCAAAACGTCAATTACTTTATGACATTATGGCACATAGTCACTCTTTAACTATTAGTACTGAAGCTAGCTAATAAGGAAAGCTCTCTATTATTCGTTTTTAACAGATAGTCAACTTAATTGGTTTCTCCCGGGAGCATCTAGATGCCCTTTGTAGTTCAGTCACATGGGCCAAAAAGTAGACCATTCCTACGAAAACTCCCATAAGCTGAAATGGCGTAAGAGGGAGAAGCGGTACCTTAGACATATCTTGCTAAGGGGCGGGCGGAATAAGTAGACGCGGCCAGAGTCACAGGGTCTGGGGCCGATATGCCAAGAGTGGCCCCCGGGGAAGGAGCCGCGGGGCCACACTGCCCTGTCACAGCTCTGCGGGCTGCAAAACAACCTCTGAACACTATTTTTTCATAAAAGCAAAAATCTTCCATTTCTTTCAGTTAGCGGAAACGGGTACTAACGTAGTTCTTTAGTAAAAGTGAAGCGGAATAATGCACACTTTTGAAAAGCTGGGCAGGCTGGGTATGTATGAGGGGGGAGAGGTTTTGCCCCATCTCATACCACATACCAAAGCTAATCTGAGGCAGATTGTAGAGTAAATGAAAAGCTAAGCCGTAAAACTTGCGTAAGAAAACAGGAGAAAATCATCGTGACTTAGGGATAGTCGAGTTTTCTTGTATAAAACACGGAAAGCAATACCTTCAAGAAGAAATTTTTTTCTCCCTGATAAATTAGACTTCATCAAAATTTAAAATGCCATCAAAAGACAACACCACGAAATAAAGACAAGTCGCAGATTGA